TCTTTTTAACGTACTCTGTCCACTCGAGGAATGCCTGCCGTAGCTGAGTATCGTCCATCAGTTCGTCTCTGTTGCGTCTTAACGAAAGTCGTAGGCCCTTGTCCTCAATCTCCATGATTCCAGTGATGCCTTTGAGCCATATAACGAAATTTAGGCAGAGGCCTTGGTTTTTGTAGAAGTCCAGAGGGAATACTGTTGCCCTCATGCTTGTGACTCAAGCATGTCCCGAGTTGTCAGGATAACCTGAAAGTGAGTCAATGAATGGTAGTTTGACTTTAACGATACGGTTTCTGTCTTGCTGCTTGCTACACAGTATGTCGTATTATGTTACACAGGATATAGAAATGACCTTACTTCTCGCCTTCGTAAAAATTTAACCACGCAGATAATGCGAAGCATGAATCCGTTTGCATAACCTGAAGATGATTAAATGAATGGGGGTTTAGTTTTAATGGTACATTTTCTGTCTGGTTGCTCAATGCACATAGAAAATAGAAACAAGTGGTTTTTATACGGCCATACTTCTCAGTTTGTAGGCAATCTTGACAAAAATATGTGTCTGATAATGCAAAATATGAATTCTCCAACTATATATTAGCACTATAGCAAACTGATGAACGGAAAGGATAACCTACAGTGAAACCTCGTTTGAAGAGTTTGATCCATTCCAGCACCGAGTTCGTTTTCTGAAACGCTCGTCTTGCGAAACGTGTCCAGTGAAATTGCATCAGACTATTAATTAGCTGCAGGCGACCGAGGTCCCAAGCCTTGAAAACAAGACTCAAAGGCGGATACGGGCACGCAAACACGCACAGACAACGCGTTGAGTGAGCGGAAACTCTTTAATCGAAACAAATTTTCTGCAAGTGGCTCGCTCGTTACTTGCGGTACTGGAAGATGGTGATGCCTGTCGCCTGAGGCGCCAGCGTATATATGGGCACCTCATAACTTAATAAGCAAGGTTTCTTGGACTAGGGCAGGATGGAGAATGCGGATACACTTCAAGCACCCACCATGACCAATTCCAACTTGTCGCGCTCACCGTTACTGCAACAAAAAAGTGACCTCAAAGGCGTGGTCAACGAGGCCTAACATAAGCTCCGACTGTGTCAAATGCCTCTGGGCCCCTCATATTCCACCGAATGAAACCTCTGGTATGGAACAAGTCCAACCCCTGGGCAAGATTATTACCGTTTTACGGGGTCAGACCACTTTGTCTATTACTAACGAGGCGGAACATTTCACAAGCCTGGAGACTAGTCCTGGGTTTAGAGGCAGGCCTACAGTCCACCATGCAACAGGTACGCCTTCGATTATCTCTTGCAGACATCCACATTGTAAAGCTCCTCCATTCCGTGACAATCGTTTAGTCCCAATTAAGCGGTTCGTGCGCTAAAAGACGACGAAGTTACTGTCTCTCTTGGTCATCGCATTTTAGCAAGAGTTCATCCTGTCAATTAAGAAAACTGACGTCAGCTGGTGGCACTCGTATGAGACACATCTAGGTGCTTTTCCACAGGATGTCATTCTTCCGCATGCCAAAATAACACGCACGTTAATACTGATGTCCTATTTGACATGGGATGTATTTTTGGGGGTAGATAGCCTAGTACAACAAGACTGTCATATTATGTCCAAATAGCCGACCATTCACTTTAACACAAAAGAGGCCGAAACCCTGTTTCTGGCAGGACATCCGATGAAACAGCCATATGAGCAGCCAGCTAGGTGTCAGTAAAAATACAACTTATGACGATATTGTGTCGACATCGTCAGGAACTGATCTTGATCTTCAAGCACTTCGGGGTCCGCTACTCAATGTCCAGGATACCTTTGCGACGAGTATATCCCTGGATGGATGACTCGCATTCGCAACGCCATCGAAAAAGACACGGCCAAGGCTATTTGGAAGACACCTTGTGGGATCCTGGTCCAATATCAGGGCAAGGTACATGACGTATTTAATAGTAGGCTAGTCACCGGAGTTATCAGGCCGTTACATTCTCCTTGGGCCCCCAGCGGCACTGCTACCCACAAAGCAGGATA